GGGGGGGAAAAAAAACAAGAATGGCGGCATAGGAAACACTGGAAATTGCTGCCTCCGACAACAACTTCAAAAATACAACTAAAAGACAGAACGGTCATCATCCAGAACCACACGAAGGCTGGCTGAGTGGAAATTCTACAACTAGAAGGAAAGAGAAGAGCCCACAGACTCAGAGGAGCTACGAAAGTAAAGTGCAGAGGTACGGAGGCTCCGGCGCGCGTGGAAAGGGGTGGGCACCTGAGGACGTGGCTGTCTTTTTGAATCGGGAGGGAGTCACAAGCTCCCGACTGCTCTGAACTCCGGTTCCGGGAAATCTCTGGGGTCCCCCGGCTCATACGGGGAGAAACTGGACGGTCTGGCAGCAGGCAGAACTCGGAACTTGAGGGCGGCTTTCCCTCAGAGGTGCTGGCGGCAGTTACCGGGACACTGAGACGAGCTGCCCCTTAGGACAGGGCTGAGAATCAGCCATATCTGCTTGCTCTGCCCTGTTGATTCCGAGACCCCGCCCCTTCCAGGCTGCTGCAAAGCCTTTTGCATATGAATGCCCGGGTCTTTTGCAACCTGACAATTCCCTAACAAATTGCAGCTGGGCCAGACAGACTCAGAACTTCCAAGAGAAGGCCCAATGCCCCACAGCAGCTTGCATTGCTTCTCAGCTGGGCCTCATCTGGGCACCCTCAAACCCCCAAAAAAGGAAGGGGAATCTGCATATCTCTTCGTAGCTCCTGCTGGGTAACCTCAGGAAGAGGCTTAATTAGCACCTCCTTAGATCCAAGAGCCAGTGTACCCAGTGGTCAGAGTGGGACCATCCAGATTACAACTCCTCAGATTCATAAGGAACACACTCAGGGGGCAGACTCAGTGAGCACCAAAGCCCCACTGAAGCAAGTCTTGCCCCAGAAGGGTGTCTTCAGCACAGAAGTTCTCCCACTGCAGACACAGCTGATTCTCACTGCCAATTGGCCTAGAGGTCAATTCCTCCCAGTGACACCTAAAACAATCAAGGCATAACTACAACAAGACTGTGCACAAAGCCCACAAGGGGGTGCACCAAGAGTGTCCACCTCAGGTAACTGGGGAGGCTGAGCCACTGGGCCCTGTAGGACACCTAGCACACAAAACCACTCTACCAACACAGGGAAGCAGACAAAATGCAAAGACAAAGAAACAGGTCACAAATGACAGAAATGGAGGACAGCAAATGACTGGATATAGAGTTCAAAACCACGGTTCTAAGATTTTTCAAGAATTTTATGGAAACCGCCGATAAATGTAGTGAGATCCTCAAGAAATCTAGTGAGACCCTCGATGTTGTGATAAAAGACCAACTAGAAATTAAGCATACACTGACTGAAATAAAGAATATTATACAGACTCCCAACAGCAGACCAGAGGATCACAAGAATCAAGTCAAAGATTTGAAATACGAAGAAGCAAAAAACACCCAACCGGAAAAGCAAAATGAAAAAAGAATCCAAAAATACGAAGATAGTGTAAGGAGCCTCTGGGACAACTTCAAGTGTACAAACATCAGAGTTATAGGGGTACCAGAAGAAGAGAGACAGCAAGATATTGAAAACCTATTTGAAGAAATAATGACAGAAAACTTCCCCAACCTGGTGAAAGAAATAGACTTCCAGGTCCAAGAAGCGCAGAGAACCCCAAACAAAAGGAATCCAAAGAGGACCACACCAAGACACATCATCATTAAAATGCCAAGAGCAAAAGACAAAGAGAGAATCTTAAAAGCAGCAAGAGAAAGAAACTCAGTTACCTACAAGGGAATACCCATACGACTGTCAGCTGATTTCTCAACAGAAACCATGCAGGCCAGAAGAGAGTGGCAAGAAATATTCAAAGTGATGAATAGCAAGAACCTACAACCAAGATTACTTTATCCAGCAAAGCTATCATTCAGAATTGAAGGTCAGATAAAGAGCTTCACAGATAAGAAAAAGCTAAAGGAGTTCATCACCACCAAGCCAGCATTATATGAAATGCTGAAAGGTATTCTTTAAGAAGAGGAAGAAGAAAAAGGAACTCTTACCATTTGCCACACCATGGATGGAACTAGAGAGCATTATGCTAAGTGAAATAAGCCAGTCAGAGAAGGATAAATACCACATGATCTCACTCATTTGTGGAATATAATGAACATCATAAACTGATAAACAAGGACTGATCCAGAGATGGAGAGGCATTGATTGGACTGTTGGGCCTTGGAGGGAAGGTAGGGGAGGGTGGGGGTAAGGGGGAAAGATCAACCAAAGGACTTACATGCAAGCATATAGGTCTAACCAATGGACACGGACAACGGGGGGGGGGGGAGGGAGTGACGTGGGTATAAGGACACATATGTAATATCTTAATCAATAAAAATATATATATATAAAATAAAATATTATTGGGCACCTGCCATGTGTCAGGCACTTTGAAAAAGGCTGACAAGGCCTTTGCTCTTTGGCAACTTATTTTTCTAAGGAGGGAAGCAGGACATAAACATATAAGGCATTTTAAGTTTCTAGTAAATACAATGAAGACATAAAATGAGGTGAGGTGATAATGAAGGGGTGCAGTCCAGAAAAAGGTGATGTAACAAGGCCTCTGGTGCTGTGGAGGTGATGCAGGTGCCAAAAGGTCCAGAGGAACTGAGTCACCAGGGGAGTGCCAGGGTTCAGTGAGGGATGTGGGGTAGGGGATATGTCAGAAAAGAAGAGCAAGTACATGGGGAGTGTGCCGACAGGAGGGCTAGTTCCTGCGGCCCCTTGGAGGTGACAAAGTCAGAGTGTCAGAGGGTGGATTACCTTGGGGTTACCCTTTAGGTCATGACCAACATATCAACAGGTCAATGGTCTGACCATCAGGGCCAGGATGCAACATTACCAACCACAAACCCATCTCCATCCCACCAAACCTGCTGCTTCTGACTTGCCAGTTTTGAGAGTGGAGTCACCCTTCTCGTCTGAGACAGAGGACTGAAACATCCAACAAGAATGGAAGGGCTCACACACCCAGTCCCTCCTGCCCTACTGCTTCACAGCTTCCCCATCTTTCTTGTCCTTCCTCCAGCAAGTCACCTCCACCTCCTCACCTCCCCAGACTCCTCTCCACTGCCCTCCGTGCCATAGGGAGCTCCTGGTCCAAGGAGAAAATGGATGGCTCTGGAAGAGAGTGTGGCCTTGCTTTGGGAGTAGGGAATGAACGCTCCCCTGGGATGACAGGGGCAGGGGTGAGGGCTATGCAGGCCTCACTTCCTTGCATCATCTCCCCTAGGGTGGATGCCTTCTGAGCCCTGCCTGCTCCCCCAGGTCTCCTTCCTTTATTCTCTGCCTGGGCCCCAGATGCCCCCCAGAGTGATTTGCTAACTCTGGACACCCATGGCTTGTTCAGTCCACCTGGCCTGTGCGCCATATTAAGGGCAATTATCCTAAAAGCAACCGGAAACCAGAGGCAACCCTAGCAGGAACTGGCAGCGGTCAGACTAAGGTACTGGGATCTGATGGGTGAGATGAGGGAGGAGGAAGAGAAGGAGGTGTAATCAGAGCCTGGTCATCTGTCCACCTGCAGGCTTGTCTCTGCCAAAGCCTCTTGCACTGAATGGCCTGAGGAACAGGGTCCTTGTCCCCAGGAAATCTAGGTGGAGGTAAGAACCAGCTGGGAGGATTTTGTGGCCTCCCACATCCAGGGCCTGGCTCTTCCCCTTGGGCCCAGAAGTGGGAGGGTGCTCGAGCAGTGTAGCTGACAAATAAATACCAAGTGATTTTGAGGAAGCAGTTGATAGATCCACACAGGCCCCATGATGCTGGAGATGCTATTGCTGCCTTACCCCCTGCTGGGGCTGCTCCTGCTGACCCTGCTGGGGGCCGCCCTGCTGGGGGCCGCCCTGCTTTCCAGGCAGCGAGCTCCAGCACGGAACAAGATCCCCAGGGCACAGAGGCGCAGGGAGGTGGCGCTGCAGCAGATGGCAGCCCTGGCACAGCGTCTCCGGGAGCAGGTGAGTAGACTTCAATCCCTGAAGCCCCCAGCCTCAATCTCAACAGGTGGGTCCTACCTCAGGACACACCCCTCTCATGGCCTCATCCCCTTCAGAAGACAGAGAGCCTGGGGGGACAGTCCCCCATTCCAGCTCTATGCTAGATCTTTGTGTCACCGGTTCCTCCCCATTTATGTCCTTCGAGCCCTTGAGCTCAGGGGCAGTGTGTTTTCTCTGTTCTCCTAATGGCTCAGTAACATGGTGGTGTGCACTTGGGCTATTTGTTGAAATAAAATAAACTGATGGAGAAACTGGAGGCAGGGGGCCAGGCCTCTTTCAGCTCCAGATCACCCCCAAACCCCACTGAGACAGGAACCCTGGTCTACATATTCTCCCTCCGTCCACCACCCACTGGGTTTTGCATATGTTTGCTGAGCACCTGACAGATGCAAAACACAGGGGCGTCACTGGACATAGGCTCCTCCCGGGAAGTTATGTAACTTAAAAGAGGGTTTTGACAGCCCGGATGGGGTTATTTCAAGGCCATGTGACAGCCATTAGGACTGGGTTGGGATTTGCAGGTGAAGTAACTGAGCCCTGGCTGTGTCAGCAAAGCCCAGCTAGAGTGGTGGACAGAAGGGTGGGAAGGAGGGGCACGGAGACAAGCTCACACTGTGTTTGCATTCGCTGTATGGCCTGGAGGGTGTGACAGCCTCTTCTGGGCCATGGGCTCTCTGACTGCTCAAGGAAGGGTGGGCTCGCGGTAGCTTAGGTTCCCCAACTTTGGTTGATGGTGGTGGTCTTCCTTTGGACCCTGGGATCTGGGGTTGGCGAGAGCGCCTGAGGTACTGACCCCGTGATCTGGAGTTCCTGAGTGTCCTCTGCCGTCCCCGGACAGTGATTGATGGCCCCAGTGGGCAGCTTCTCTGCTGGAGCTGCTGCAGCTCCTGAGAATGTGTATTAATATTAATTGGGGCTAATTAGTTGGATGAATCAATCTGCCCCAAGAGAGCAGCTGCCCCTCCTTGGTTGATGGGAAGGAATTCGAGGCTAATGGGGTTGCTGTGGCGAGTCAGCATGATGGAGAGGGTTCCTGTGTGCGTGTGGTGACCCCAGCTGTGTACGGTGTTGGGTTTAGGTTCCTTTACTGCTAACACCGGGGCCTGCCTGTGTGTGCCTCCTGCTGGTGAGTTATTGTGTGCTGCTTGTGTTTGCTTCTCTGCCTGTGGTGTGTGTGTCTGGCTGGGTGTGTATGTGTTGTGTTACTGGTTTGGAGTGTATACATCTAGATATGTTTGGGTGTGAATGTTTGATTGAGTGAGTTTATGTGAGGTCATGTGTCTGATGTGAAAGGACATCTGGTTCTGTATGTGTCTGGACATCTGGATGGTATACGTGTGGCATCTGGAATATATACCTATTGTGCTGGGTACCTGGTGGGGCTTTGTGTGTCTGGTTGGCTGGGGGAGTGGAAAAGTTTGGGGTGAGGTCACCCATGGTGTCTCCAGCCTTCCCTCAAGGCTATAGGCGCTCTGTGCCTATTGTCTCCCCAACAAAGCTATCACAGGTCTGTCCTGGGCACCTCCCTAGTTGGGTCACTCCTCCGCCAGGGATACCCTCCAGGCCTCATATGTCCAGCTTTATGCCTCAGGGAAGTGGGAGGCTGAGACATAGGCAAACCCTCGTAGGGTTCAAACAGACCCAATTCAGTTCCGTTTAGCAAAATTTCACAGATGGCGCCTGGGGTCTTGTTTTCTGCTGAACTCTGGGTCAGAGATCTGATGTCTGACTCAGACTTGTCTTAAAGATGTTCTCACTCTGGGTGGGGTGTAGTGGAAACAGAGCTGTGCCAACCATAATGGGAAGCAACTCAACCAAATGTGGTGAAAGCCAGATGCCTATGGAGCTGTGGGACTTGGCAGGAGGGCTGATTTGCTCTTTTTGGAGTAGGTCATGTGGGGAAGGCTTCAAAGAGCTGAGCCTTGAAGGATGTATGGGAGTTTTCCAAAAGGAGGAAAGAACAGGGTAGGCGATGCCAAGCAGAGAAAAGCCTGAGATAAAGGATGCTTCTATAGAACACATAGGAAAGATCTGCAAGGTCCACTGGGGGAAGCAGACAAGCTGCTCATTCTGAAGGCTGCTTACCAGAGGCTCTGATCACTTCAGGGGGAAATTGGCTGCCCTGAGGGTTGATGGTTTTTACAATATTAAGCATATTTAGCCACCACTTTGGAAATATTAATAACAAATCAACATGCTAAAAACTTTGAAATATATTTTCTTTGATTTCAAACCATGATAGAAGGCAGCACCAGGTGAGTGTGGAGAAGGCAGATGTCCCCTGGGCTGTGGAACTGGGCAGGAGACGTGATTTGTTCTAAACTAAACTATATATTAAAACAGCTTAAAGTGATAGAAGTTGAGGCTCAATTCTTTCACCAAATGATTCTAACAATTTCAAATAATTACTTGATTTTTAAAAAAACTTGTGAAGGTCTTTTGATGTGGCTCTCATCTTTTGAAGGTGTCTCTCTTTCAAAGTTCTCCCAGTAACTGAGAGTCATTAGGTGACTGGAAACCTCATTAAGCAGAGACCCTTCCTTCTCCTCCTCCTCCTCCTCCTCCTCCTCATCTCCTTCCTCCTCCTCCTCATTCCCTTTCTCTTCCTCGTCCTCATTCTCCTCCTCCTCCTCCTCTTCCTCATCTCCTTCCTTGTCCTCGTCCTCATTCTCCTCATCCTCATTCTCCTCCTCCTCTTCTTCCTCTTCCTCCTTTTTTAGAAATAAGTGATAAAGATTAATTCATGGGTATGAAAACTGAAGATATAACTAGGCAAAAACCCAGAAATGTTTCTGAAGAAGAACAAAAAGTTGAGTTCTTATAGTAAAACTAGAGGCCAGTGCACGTAGGGTCCCTAGTGGCTCCCTCTTCTTCCTCTTCAGTAGAATCATTCTCTTCAGTAGAATCCCGGGCCCATTCCTACATTCTTAGCTCTATTATTGGTCCAGGATGGTTATCAGTCAGATGTCTAGTGATCTGGATGACTGATGGCAGGTGGTCTGGAAGATGCACACCAGGAGGTCTGGTTACACCCAGTGCTCTGGGTAATGATGTCAGGTTAATGTATTCATGAGTCCTGCAGAGATAATCAGGGGTTATCTGGAGATCTGATGTATGTCCAGGCACTGACGCAGGACTGGAAAATTCAGAAGTTTAAATTCCCAGGCTAATTAAAATGAGAAGAGAATCACTTCCTCAGCCTACTTGACTTTAGTATTTAGCAGCTTGACTATACTGAGTCCACTTTACCTCTTTGCTCTTTCCTCGGGACCTGGAGGAGAGATAGGACTGAGAAGCTAGAGGGGAGAGATGGCATCGGGTGTGGATCCCTGGTTGCCCAAGAACAGACAGCTCAGGTTACATAATTTGGCTTTCTGCCTACTTCCCCTGTTTACATTTTAGCAACTGAAATTCCACTCTCCCACAGGTTCTTCTTCCATTATTCTGCTTCTATCCCCTGACCTTCCAGGACCTCCTTTTGGTCCTCCAGCTCCAGCTGCCCTAACCCAGACTATCCAGTGACTCAGCAAAGGGGGAGGAGAGGGAAACTGGGGGAGGGGAGGGAAACTGGTTTCATTCCCTTTTTTTTTTTTGTCTCTGTTCACATTCATCTCTCAATAGAGTGGAGTAGACTGGAGGGCAAACTGGGCCTTCTGAGGACCAACCTTGCGGGTGGGCCAGCAGGGGCTTCCTGTCTCCAGCTGAGGGCACGTGTTAGTGTGTGTGCGGGTCACAGGTGTGTAGGAGCTGTGGGTTTTGGCAGGTGGGGTGGGACAGGAGATGTCATAGATGATGAAAATCACAGCAATGGAAAAAGAGGAGGAGATACCGGGAATGAGATGTGGAACCAGGCCTTATTAGGAAAGGGCAGAGTCAAGGAGCAGTGGTGGTGACTTGTCCTCCCCACCCAGCTCCTTTCAAGTTCCACTCCCACCCCACCACATCCTCTGCTATGCAGCATCGCCCTGGTCCTGGTCCTCGTCATCCCCATCTCTGACTGAGCCCTTCCTGCCGCCCTGCCTTTAAGGCTGCGTTCCCAACAGCTTCTCCTTGTTTCCCTGAGGTCACTGGAGGTCCTCCATATGGTGATTCAGGACTTGAGAAAGAACTGTCACCTCTCCCAGCACGCGACCCAGATTCCATGTCTCAATCTGGCTCTGGAATCACTGTAGGAAGCAGCTAGGGTGCGTCGAGTACCTCCTCAGAGCCCCCTGTCCCCCCGGCCCTCAGGTGGGGGTGGGGCCTGGCCATCAGGGCTGCAGCCATGGCCTCCCAGTCCTCTCCCCCAGAGCAGGGCCAGGACACGTTGTCAAAGTGCCAGAGGCTGCCCATCCTTGCTTGTCTGGAGTGCTGAGCCCTGGGCTCTGGGTCCCTGTGAGCCTCCTGTGCCTGCTCCTAGGCCTGCTGGTCTGACTCTCACGCAGTTCCTCCTCCTTGGCCCTTGGCTCACTCTCTAAGGAGCCACTGCTCTTCCTCCTGCCCTTATTCTGTGGGGGATGCGCAGCTCCCTTTGCCTCAGGCTGCTGCTGGCACTTCTGGGCATGTTCCCGGGCCAGGTGATCTGACCAGGCTAAGAAGGACTCGAGTTCCTGGGCCTCATGAGAAGCATCGTTTTGGAGCTGCCCATTGACCTGCTGCCACTCGTCTTCTAGTTCTCCCTGCAGCTTCTGTTTCCACTCGTTCTCCCTGTGCACCGCCTCTTCTTCCTCTTCAGTAGAATCCCGGGGGGGGGGGGGGGGGGTCCCTAGCCCAGAATTTGCCTATGAGTCTCCCATTCTTATTCTTTTATTTAAAAATTAAAATAAATATATTTTTATTGATTTCAGAGAGGAAGGGAGAGGGAGTGAGAGATAGACACATCAATGATGACAGAGAATCATTGATTGGCTGCCTCCTGTATGCACCACACTGGGGATTGAGCCCACAACCCAGGCATGTGCCCTGAATCGTGACCTCCTGGT